ATTTTTCAGTGAATGAGGTTTTTATAGGAATAGGTGGAGTGCAACTTTTCAACTTCTGTTATTTGCTGTTACATAACGATATTACAGCTTTCATTGATTTATTTCAAATTTGAAACATTGTCTAGCCTGTAAGGTGTTAAAAAAAAATTTATCAAATCCTATCGTGGTGTATTCTTGAGTATCGAAAATAATCGAATCATTGGGTCAGGAAATCGATAATGAATCGAATCGCCATGATGGGTGGGATTTACACCCCTATTGGGAAGTAATGAGTTGTTCTCAACTATTCAGCATTTTTCTGGAGGAGGCACCAATGAGGACTGCAATTAACAAATATTTTCATGATTAATAATCAGTTAGCAAAATGTACCTTAAAGAAGATTTCATATCGAATCTAAACCATTTGAGGAGTTCTTATTGGAGCATATTGAAGGACAGAAAAGGTTTTTCCATCTTGAATACCAAATATCTCTAAATATATTCTACAAGACTGGTATAATTACTGCTCTGATAGGGTTACTCCTTCAGCTAATGAGTCTGTGCCTAGTGCCAATAACAGCGACAAACCTCCAGTCACCCTCATCCCTGAAAAAATACATTCAAACAAAAAAAAAAAAAAACAGAACTTTTGGTTTTGCTCCTATTTTTTATGGGATAAAAGATTTAGAACTTTTTCCACACACACAATATACAGATTTTTATTCATTCATTAAGTGCTCACTATCACAGATTTAGACTGGTCTGTGAACAATATTTGAGAGAAATGGTTACATTGTGCACATGGAAAAAAGTTTTAGATCTTTGATTTTGTCTAAAAAAAAAAAATGGGAGCAAAACAAAAAGGGTTGCTTTTATACTTTAATGAGTTTACAAAAAATAAACCAATGTTGGGAAATATATACTACTCTAAAACGTATTTATTTTTAGTTTTACGTGAGAAAAATGGCTCTCTAGATATTTTGAGGAAACCTTTCACCAAATGATATTACTGCGGTATCACTATTTTGATATTTAATTTATTTAACTTTTAAAGTATAGGTGGGGCAGCAACATGATGTGGAAATATTTTGCTACAAAGCCAACTAATGACTAGGGGTGTAAATAATAATCGTTTTGTATCGATGCATCGATCCAAAAGCCGACGATCCGATGCATCGACACGTCCGCAAGATAATCGATTCATGTTTTTTTTTTTCTTCCGGTCTATTTTTATCCATTTGCTCCTGGGCGTAATTCTCCCTCCAGTGCTGCGGTGCCGCTAAACCTATTTTGCCCTCCTACCTCGCTTCCTGGTTATACTCTTACAGCAGTGTGTTGCAGTAAGCTTGACACAGACATTTTTAAATTATGCTCAGTATTGAAGCGTGGTCTGAGCTACACACTGTGGATCTAGATACGGCCGAGGCGGTGAGGAAGTGGGGGCGAGTTTAGTCCGACGACGGAGGGACATGAGGGCCAGGTCGAAAAAGGGTCCCAGCGTTCTCGCGCACCTCGCTCTTCTAGCGGGTCAAACTTCACGAGTTGTGTTCTGCAATTTCGGTCATAAAAACAAAACAAGCCGGCCTCCTGTCTGCTGCACTGTTTGCGGTCAGCTACAATCTGGGAGAGGTGCAGCGGAGCGTCTCTCAAGGGGGCGGTGACGTCGACACTCTGGAGCCTTCTATTTCTTCTTTTTTTTTTATGGCGGTTTGCAAACAACTTATAGGTGCATTACCGCCACCTTCCAGAATGGAGTATGGACCAGACAAACTATTATATTCTCCCTAAAATACCCGTTCTTCTTAGAAAATGAAAAATACTCCCAAAAATTACATCCCCAGATGACCTTTGAAACAATTCCCTTATATCTAGTTTATTTTTATTCCTGTCTAACTCTCTACGCAACATCTCTCTTTCCTGAGTATATTTATTACATTGTGCAGTATTTTGCAGTATTTTTTGATGCAACTTTTCTACTTCTGTTATTTGCTGTTGTTCCTAAAGAAAATGCATAATGATATTACAGCTTTCATTGATTTATTTCAAACTTGAAACTTTGTTTAGCCTGTAAGTTGTAAAAAAAAAAATAAAAAAAAAATGTAACCGATTAATCGAATCGTGGTGTATTCTTGAGTATCGAAAATAATCGAATCGTTGGGTCAGGAAATCGATACTGAATCGAATCGACATGATGGATGTGATTTACATGTAATTTAGACATCATCACATGAAAACTTTTAAGCAGTATCTCAAGCCATCAGCTAGAAAGTTAAAGAGCAGAAACAGGGACCGTCTCACCAAATTATAAAAACGTGGCTTAAGAACAATACAGTCAGTATTTGCAGTGGGCATCACAAAGCCCTGGTCTCAGTCCCATATACAGCTTGTAGGAGAGATGAAAAGATGCGTTCGAGTAAATCAAGAACAAACAAAGAAAAACTATCTACCAAATACTTGTGCCCATGAAGTCATCACTTTGGCATTTGGCAATTGGTGACGAAAGAAAGGTAATGAGTCTTTTTATACAGAGTATGAAAACATCTGGCTTCAACTGTACATCTGAAGGTAAAGATCAAATGATAAACAGAGAGAAGGAAACGGCAACAAGCTGCCAGCTTTAAGACAAACCAATATGTTGGAAAGTTGGGGGAGGGGGTTTCCAGGACAATACAAAAGCTTAACAGTCATAAGAAAATAAAGCTGGGGTACAGAAAGAAAACAGCTGTGACCAACTACCAGGCCAAGCAGCTCTTCCCTGCAGGGAAACATGACAAGTGGAGCCAGCCTCAGTGCTCAGGTATCAACTGAAATGAATGGAGCTGCAGTAACAGATCAGAACCAGCCCTAGACTTTTTCACCGTCTGTAATTTTAACTACCGTATTTTCACGACCATAAGGCGCACCGGACTAAAAGGCGCACTCTCTGTTATGTGTCCCATTTCTGTATTTAACACACACATAAGGCGCACCAGACTATAGGGCGCGTTTTTTATATACAGGTACATGTCCTCTACTACCTTTAAATAGCTCTACTGCGTATTTAAAAATACAGCGGGGGCAAAACTGAGTATGACTGTGCTTTATTCATGTATTTATTACAAAGTATTAATCAAACCTGGCAGCTGGCCGTGAGACAGACACATCGCAGATGACACAGCGCTGTGGTCACTCCTAAATTAACTTAAAATCCTGAAACCTGCCGACGGAATATGTTCGCTTTTATTGCCGGTATCCTGGTGCCTGCAGTTGAAATTATTTAGATGAAAAACACCTGCCAGCAGCCGCGGTGAGGCTGCTGTTGAAGGGATTTACTGTCGGTGCACCGCTGGTATGTGGGGGTCTGAGCGCCTCCGACAGAAATAGATAATCTGGATGAAGTGACTGCAATTATTAAGTTTTCAGGTGGACTTTCTCACTTAAAAACATATTAAAACTACTTTATTCCCACTGATCACAGCAAATATAGCTGCAAGATTTAGATTATTTAGATGAAAAAACACCTGCCAGCCGCCGCGCTGAAGAGGAGGAGACGCACCCACAGGCTGCTGTTGAATTAAGCTTTCAGGTAGAAAAATAGAGCAGGAGCAAAACTGAGTATGATTGTGCTTTATTCATGTAGTTATTACAAAGTATTAATCAAACCCATCAAAGTCATCATCCTCTGTTTCTGAATTAAACAGCTGCGCTAAATCAGACATGCCAGTTTCCCCATCTGCGCTGTCAGAGTCACTTTCCGTGCAGCGCGGTTCCTCAGAAATAATGCCGGCTTTTGCGAAAGCTTGAACAACAGAGCCAGCAGACACTTTAGTCCAAGCATCTACAATCCATCCGCAAACTGTGGCGTAACTTGCCCGGCGCTGCCTTCCCATTATCCTGAAACTGTGGTCTCCGTCTGTCATCCATCGCTCCCACGCCGCTCGCAGCCTTACTGTGAACGGCCGCCTCACACCAATGTCGAGCGGTTGAAGCTCCTTTGTCAGACCCCCCGGGATAACGGCGAGCACAGCGTTCATTTGATTCATCTTTTTTTCACATCGGCTGTGAGATGGGCACGCAGCGATGGTGATGCGTGGAAAAAAACACCTAGTCTTCTCAGATACACCTGCCTCAGCCACGCATCCACCCAGCCTTTTTCATCTAATATCATATGTCATCAGAGCGCTGTCTGTCTCGCTGTCAGCTCCCAGATCTGCTTCTCTGATTGGTTGATGCGGCGCGTCCAGCAGCAAAACTTCAATTTTTCCATCTGAGCAGCAGCAGCGCGTTGGCGGCGCTTCAGATGCTTAAACGCTCCCGACGTGCTGCACCAAAACGCGCTGCAGGACCTTTTGCTGCACCTATACGCGTCAACCATTGACTTTGCATGTAAACTCGCTGCTTCTGCTGCACCTGCTGGGTCCGGTTCACACCAATGTCGAGCGGTTGAACAGCGAGCACAGCATTCATTTGTTTCCCCATGTTTTTCACATCAGCTGTGAGATGGGCACGCATGGAGTTACATATTAACAGCGATGGTGAGGGGTGGAAAAAAAAACACCTGGTCTCCTTACATTCAGCCACTCTTTCATCATCTCCTCAATGAGGTGGTCTCAAAAGTCGCAGTTACAACACACATAGGGCGCACCGCACCATAGGGCGCACCGCACATTTTGAGGGAAAAAAAAGACATTTAAGTGCGCCTTATAGTCGTGAAAATACGGTAGATCGATACTAATCCATAACCTATTTTTACCCGGGATCCTATTTTCTCATAATAATTAAACCCTCTAAAGGGTTTATTTTCATTCATTTTAATGAATATCTATTCTAAACAAGCTGAACATCATCAACCAGATCAACATACGGAACATTTTCTCTGTGGTGACAAAAACATGGCCTCCCAGTTTCCTCCTGCTTCGCACGGATGTCACTTGTGCATATTGTGTGCAACCATTTTGCAACTTTCAGATTTTACCTGTTATCTTTTTTTTGGCCAAATACTGAAAATATAATATATAAAAGTAAGCAAACAGCCTGCATACCTGGGTGCTCAGTGGTGGAGTAGGACAGGTAGAATCCACGGCCAGTACGGTGCGTCCCACTCATGAACTGGACCGTTACCTGGTTACCCGAGGACTCTATCAGCTCATCAACCTTCTGATCTAAACCGCAGTATTTTACTGGAACACAACAAACAAAACAAAAACACAGATTAGTAATTTAATACTAGTATTTAAACTCTTTCAGGGTCTAAACAATAGATTTATCCTATTGCATTTAGTCAAATTGTGGAAGAAGGTTTAAATAAAGTCAATAAGCTGACCATCAGGATCAACTCAATTCTGATTGGTCAGCTACAAGAACCAATCACGATAAGACGAGTTCTCATTAAGGTAAGTGGCTTTCTAAAACTGAAAAAGCTTTTTAAAGTCTAACTTTGATTAAAGCAACACTAGAGCTAATACTCAAAATGTATCGCACAAAGCTATTTTTTTATTCAAAATAGCAAGAAGCCACCAATAATCCAACTGTTGGTAAACTGTAAGAAATTTTTAAATCACAGTTTAATAAATGTTTCTTCTTTGGTCACACAGTAAATAAACAGTGTGTTAATAAACATCCAAAAACAGTCAATAGATGTTTTACAGTGTTTACTGCACAGAACAACAAATGAAACACAAGCTGATGTTAGCTCATCAATTAACTGAATCATTTAGTTTTAACTGTGTCACTTTAATAAGAGTAAACAGAACAAGTCATTTTGATTTACCCTTTTAAGGCCAGAACAAACCAAATCCGATTTTGGGTCCAAAAAAAGAAAATCTAATTTGAACCAAAGTTTAACTCCAGACCAAGTGCAGATAAAATCAATAGCAACATGTGGTTCAAACAGACAGAAGGCAAGAGTAGCACTTCATAAGTCTCCCAGTTCAGCTTATTCTTTAGAGGAACTGACTAAAAGGCGACTAAAGCCTGAGTTTGAAAAACAATCTGGTATGATCACATTCCCACCACGCAGTATGAGCTGTTTATTCTCCTGGTATGAGAGGAGTAAACACTGTATTGTAACAAAATGAGCAGTTACTTTATCTGAGTCCTGATTTTCTGGTCAATCAGCATTTTTTCTATGTAACTTTGCTCACATCTTAAAAGGATTAACCCAGAAGAACGTCATTTCTTAAAGCCTTTTGATAGAAAGTAAACCTCAAAGCCAATTTGGGACTACATTGCTCAAGATGATCCATTATGTAACATTATTAAGTCGTCTGCAACAATAATTTGCAGAGAATCCAAGTGACCGGAGTTTTAAGCAAAACCTTTATTTGCTTCAAATGTGTCACTGCTATAGCTGTGGCAGAACAATGAGGCAAGGAGGGAGCAGCATCATGCTAAGGTGATACTATAGCAGGGAGGGGGAAGCTGGTCAGAGATAATGGGAGGATCAGTCACTGGGTGAGCAAGGCTGGAAGAGCTTTAGCTCTAGTTGGGACCAAAATACTGAATAAGTGAGACGGAATGCGAAAACACAGAAAGAAAAAGTAAAAGCCACATTTTTATAAACCAAGGCTAGAAAATGTTGGGATTGTGGGGTGAATCTTTTTCTGTGTGTGCATGGTTATTTCATTGTTAAAATTTGTTTATAAATAAGTGTATATTTCCCATTAACCTTAGCAGAAAACTTTCCAATGAAGATTATGTTTAAAATAGGAGAAAAAAACAACAACTCTATTATCTCATTTCAAGTATATTTAATTAGCGTATTTTAAAGGCAAAATACAAACTTTATTTGCAGATCATCTTATTTACTTGATCAAATTAAATATACAAATACAGACATATTTTGATTAATTTCTACTTGTTTTTAGATCAGTTTTTGCAGTGAATTTATTCGATCGACACAGTAACAGTAAAGAACAAACTTGGATGGCATCTCATTGTCCTTCAAAAAAGCCACATTGAACCAGTAAAACTTAATGACCAGATGTTTCAGAAACCAGTTAATTACTTACCGATCTCTCGCCGTTCCTGTCCGATGCCGTTGTAGAGACGGAGATAGTTGACCTGGCGGTCGCTGTCCTGTATGTCGAGCGCCGCAAAGCGAAAGTGGATCCTCTTTCCACGCGGCACAGTGATCTCCCACTCACACACAGTGTTGTTGGGATATGTCCTCGGATATCCCAGAGAGGACAGAGTGCCGCTGCTGGGGCCGAGCACACTGGGGCCACAGCCATCTCCTGCAGGGCGACATGAACACACAGGTTTTAATATGTCCAACACAAAAAAATAACCAAACAATACAGCTGATCTGCAGTCTGAGAATGTTCTCCTGTTGCACATTGGTTGTACAATTACTTAATTAATTTGCATTAATTGATCAGATTATTTCCCCTTCCCCCCCAAAAAGAATGAAAATTGACTCATTTAGAAAGTCTCCAAAACAGTTCTTAGGACCTTGGTTGAGAAAAAGTCTTCAGTGTGTCAAAGAGTTAAGAGGATTTAGCAAAGAGATTGGATTGCCACCAGAGCAGAGCTTGCTCAGCAATGGAAGCATGCTGCTTTAATTTTATTTACACTATGTCGGCTGCTTGTGGGATATTGTGAAGGAGCTGGTAAAGATTCTCAGTCATCCAGGTTATAGTCATTCAAAAAAAGTTAAAAAACAATCCACTGGACATTGTTTCCAGGTTTGAAGACGTTTCGCATCCTTACAGGAAGCTTTTTTGAATTGAAAAAGCTTGGGGAAGCTGGATGGGAATCGAAATGTCTTCAAACTTCAGTGGATTGTTTCTTTTTTTTTATTTACTTTTTTGGATATTGTGTTGCATAGGAGCTGATCTTTTAAAAAATCTAGACCAAAATGACTTTCTGCAGGAAGTACCAGCTCTGAACTAAAGTGGACTAGGTTTAGGTTATTCCTTTTTCTTTTATAAACCACTTAGATTGTTTAAAACAGCAAGGAAAAAAAAAAGAACAATCCAAGAGCAATATGATGATGAAAAATGTTTTTCCTGCAATGATAATAAAATAGTTTACTGAAACCTCAGTATAGCAGCACAGCCATTGGCAGTAATAAAATATTTACCGTATTTTCACGACTATAAGGCGCACTTAAACGTCTTTTTTTCCCCTCAAAATGTGCGGTGCGCCCTATGGTGCGGTGCGCCCTATGTGTGTTGTAATTGCGACTTTTGAGACCACCTCATTGAGGAGATGATGAAAGAGTGGCTGAATGTAAGGAGACCAGGTGTTTTTTTTTTCCACCCCTCACAATCGCTGTTAATATGTAACTCCATGCGTGCCCATCTCACAGCTGATGTGAAAAACATGGGGAAACAAATGAATGCTGTGCTCGCTGTTCAACCGCTCAACATCGGTGTGAACCGGACCCAGCAGGTGCAGCAGAAGCAGCGAGTTTACATGCAAAGTCAATGGTTGACGCGCGTATAGGTGCAGCAAAAGGTCCTGCAGCGCGTTTTGGTGCAGCACGTCGGGAGCGTTTAAGCATCTGAAGCTCCGCCAACGCGCTGCTGCTGCTCGAGATGGAAAAATTGAAGTTTTGCTGCTGGACGCACCGCATCAACCAATCAGAGAAGCTGATCTGGGAGCTGACAGCGAGACAGACACAGCCCTCTGATGACATATGATATTAAATGAAAAAGGCTGGGTGGATGCGTGGCTGAGGCAGGTGTATCTGAGAAGACTAGGTGGTTTTTTCCACGCATCACCATCGCTGCGTGCCCATCTCACAGCCGATGTGAAAAAAAGGTGAATCAAATGAACGCTGTGCTCGCCGTTATCTCGGGGGGGTCTGACAAAGGAACTTCCACCGCTCGACATCGGTGTGAACCGGCCCTTCAAAGTAAGGCTGCGAGCGGCGTGGGAGCGATGGATGACAGACGGAGACCACAGTTTCAGGATAAGTGGAAGGCAGCGCCGGGCAAGTTACGCCACCGTTTGCGGATGGATTGTTGATGCTTGGACTACTACGTTTCTGCTGGCTCTGTTGTTCAAGCTTTCGCAAAAGCCGGCATTATTTCTGAGGAGCTGCGCTGCACGGAAAGTGACTGACAGCGAAGAAAAGGAAATTGGCATGTCTGATTTAGCGCAGCTGTTTAATTCAGAAACAGAGGATGATGACTTTGATGGGTTTGATTAATACTTTGTAATAAATACATGAATAAAGCACAATCATACTCAGTTTTGCTCCTGCTCTATTTTTCTACCTGAAAACTTAATTCAACAGCAGCCTCTGGGCCGGGTCCCCTCCTCTTCAGCGCGGCGGCTGGCAGGTGTTTTTTCATCTAAATAATCTAAATCTTGCAGCTATATTTGCTGTGATCAGTGGGAATAAAGTAGTTTTAATATGTTTTTAAGTGAGAAAGTCCACCTGAAAACTTAATAATTGCAGTCACTTCATCCAGATTATCTATTTCTGTCGGAGGCGCTCAGACCCCCACATACCAGCGGTGCACCGACAGTAAATCCCTTCAACAGCAGCCTCACCGCGGCTGCTGGCAGGTGTTTTTCATCTAAATAATTTCAACTGCAGGCACCAGGATACCGGCAATAAAAGCGAACATATTCCGTCGGCAGGTTTCAGGATTTTAAGTTAATTTAGGAGTGACCACAGCGCTGTGTCATCTGCGATGTGTCTGTCTCACGGCCAGCTGCCAGGTTTGATTAATACTTTGTGATAAATACATGAATAAAGCACAGTCATACTCAGTTTTGCCCCTGCTGTATTTTTAAATACGCAGTAGAGGTATTTAAAGGTAGTAGAGGACATGTACCTGTATATAAAAAACGCGCCCTATAGTCCGGTGCGCCTCATGTGTGTGTTAAATACAGAAATGGGACACATAACTGAGAGTGCGCCTTTTAGTCCGGCGCGCCTTATGGTCGTGAAAATACGGTACCAGTTTTAAATGTTTAAATGACTTATTTTCCTACAGGATCTTCTTTTATATCCTGCTGCTTCATCCAGAAGCAACTGCAGCGTTTGTATACTACAGTAGAAAAAGGAAAAGCAATGTTTTCAAATTAGCTAAATCTACTCGCATGCGAGATGCCATGAAACCGTACGCCTCTCCTTCTTATTAGGAAAACGGGCAGTAATACCTTCTACTCCCAAATCTTGTCTTGTCTTCCAAATTTTCTCTTCAGCTGATTTATCTTAGGAAACTTTCCAATGAGGTTAGGCTCTGTGGCCTTTTGAATCCTAAATACCTTTGAGAAATGTTAATATTAATAAATAAATACCTTAATATTTATTCACGGCCTCTACAGTCTCACAATTAACTTAAATCTTAAAATTGTTAACTTGCAATTAATGACATTGCTTCTTAGACAAAACAAGAAATCAGCATGCAGAAGTTCAGATTATGAGACAGATCAACCAGCCCCACCTGTTACAATGATAAACATCTAAACTGAATGCAATGGCCAAGCAACTTCCTCACCCATCAACATTTACAACAAGCAAAAATATTTTTGAATCGTTTACAACCTGCAACAGATATTTAAATCTCGACTCGTCCTGAGAAATAGTTTGGTAAAAAAAAAACAATTATGATTTGATCAGATGATCAGAAACTATGGACTGTTTAGTCAAAACAACATAACCAAGCAGCGACAAGCCATACAGAAAAGAGCCTCCATTAATTATGAGGCCTATATGGACCAGAATATAGGAATTTTTATACTTTTTTTAATAACCTTCAATAAAACCACCATTTTATACACATTACTCTCCTACACAAAGTGTGACATCTCCTCTGATCCTAATCTCAATAATTTAATGACTTTAATTGCATCAGGAGAGCTGGACAAAGATAATTGGGAGTTCTGTAATTGAAGTTTGTGCTTCATACGAGACAAACTGAGAAAAAAATATATAGAATTAGCAATCAGACACCTGCAGAAAGTTGTGGGACTGATTCCAGCCTCTTCCTCATGACACGGGCACTTAACAGCATATGAAAGTGTGTGTGTGTTGGTGCACCTGGGAGACTGAGTCCAGGGTAAAAGCCTCTTGAAAGGTCCATTGAACTAGAAAAGCACTGTATAGGTTCGGTCCATGAATGTAACGCACCAGTGCTCACAGAGCGGATGAATCTACTCTGATGCTTCCTGGAGGAATCCTGAAACCTTAGTTTGTCCTTTGAGTCTGAAAGACAGACTGAATAATCCAGCAAACATGTCTTGGGTTTATTGCCTCCTCCTCTAAATATGAAAACACTTTTGCATGTCTATTTACACCTTAACAGAATCAGCTAGCTGCCTAAATAAGTTCAAAACAGTCCAAGTCATCTGGGAATTTAAAACTTGCACAAGCTCACAAATCCTGACCTTGCTTTAAGACAAAACAAGGGAACAGATACATGTTTCAGCACAGAGGAAACTTCCTGAACTCTTTAGGTGGCTCGTAGTAGAGATCACACATTCTCCATGTTCCACTCAGCGAGTAAATTCATTTTTTAATCTGTAAAATACACTTTGAACAAAGCTCTACTGCTCTACTATATATATATATATATATATATATATATATATATATATATATATATATATATATATATATATATATATATATATATATATATTTTAGGGGTTCACAAAATCCACGGTTCGGTTCGGTTCACGGTTTCGTGGTCACGGTTCGGTATATGTTTATTGTTACACCGAAAAATAAAAAAAATAAGAAAAAATTATAAAAATGAATTAAATTTTTTTTTTTATGAAATTAATGAAAAAATCCAAAAAAATTAATGAACAGTAATTATTTTTAATGATTCGCGGAAACCATGGATAATTTCCGCATGTTTTGCTGCTTTGAATTTAATCATCTCGCGCATGCCCTCTACCATCTACAAGGAACTCAGAGGGGAGCGGACGGGAGTCACAGCGGAGGCTGTAGGCTTTGCTTTGTGCAGGCGGTCTGGAGCGCAGCTGAGCGGAGCGCTGATGGAGTATGAGGGATTTCGGGGTTAGCATGACATGTTGGTCATGTTGCTGTTAGCATAAACAAAACGTGTTGCACAATGCTTGCACACTGTTGCACTTTTATCCACAACGTTCTTTCCGCCGTCATCGTAGGTCACTCTAAATGCAAAGCGCTCCCATACAGCAGACCTATAAAGTGCTGCTGGCGCGTCTTCCAACTCCTGTTCTTTCCCACTCGCCATTCCAACACAATTCTCCACAACAACTGATTTTTTTCTGCTACACCCGGCTACGCTGCTTCGCTTCTTCTTCTTGTTTACTACTGGTGGTTGGCTTTGGTCGCAGTACCGCCACCTTCTGCTCTGGAGTGTACACGCTTCCCCTATGAGAAAAAGGAGCAGCACATGAACCGAACGAAACACACGCGAACTGAACCGAGACAGTCGAACTGAACGGTTCGGACAGTTTTCATAAACCGTTCCATCCCTAATATATATATATATATATATATATATATATATATATACACATATATATATATACACACACACACACACACACACGTAAAACAAATTAATACCGAATATGGTTAAATTTAAGACTCTTCATGTATCAATATGCCCTACCCAGAAGGATATTAATGAGGTTCAGGTCGGATGAATCCGACCTGGCTGTTCAGACACAGGTCGCACTTGAAAAGATCAGATTTGTATCGGATTCAGGACCACATAGCCAAGCGGCCTGGGTCGGATTGAAAAAAAAAATAATTCAGATCTGTGTTGTTCAGACTGTCATTAAAAGAGCAGATCCAGGTCGCATATGGGCCAAACAAAAATCCGATTTGGGTCACTTCAGGCTGCAGTGTGAACGTAGCCGATGTATGTGTGCATATATACGAAGAACTGCATACTACTTGGATGTGAAATAATTGCCATCGTGGCTTTGTCAAGGTGCTGCCTACCTTTGTGAAGCAAGAAAAAAACTAATACAAAGTCAATCCAGTAGAACTTTTTATTGCCTACCTTGAACGGATGACAATAGTTGAAAAACTTTTGGCTCTCAAAATGGTATCGGTTCCCTATTTGTTGGTACTCGCCAATACTGAAACCATTTTAGTACAGGATCAGGGCCATGCCTGATACTGGTATCGGTCCAACACTAATTACAGGCTCTCTTGTCAAGGTTATCCAGGTCATTGTTTCATCTATATTATGGACTCATAGCTGTGTGTTTAAACCCTTACAGGCTCACTTCATGGTGCTTAATGGATATGTGCGTTTTGAATTATGTAAGAGCCCCCTGAGTGGACATTATCAAGATGAGCAAGAAAAAAACAGCACAATTACTCACAAATGCTGGTGAAAAAACACTGCAGATTGGGCTAGATCTCACATTCCACCTCCATGTGAATAAAAATCCAGAGATTTTCAAAAATAACCCACTGGGTGTTTAGGACAATCCTGTCCACCTGAGTTCAGACAAATGTTTGTGTTCAGTTCCTGTAATGTTTAGCAACTAATGTTTTATGGTAAGGAACATGCTCTAAACATTTTAACGACTTGGTTTGTAAACCAACCTATAAAAATGCCAAACAAATAACAAATATAAACGCTTACAGTTAGACTCAAATGAGAAACACATGGTTACTTTGATAGTGGAATACATTATTGAAAGTCTGCTGTTTTCATCGGGATACAAGATTAAAAAGACTAAAAATAAAAAAACAAAGTACCAGGAACCGGTTCGCCTGGTTTTCCCAGAACCTATCTCCACCAAACCTTCACAATGCGCGACGTGGAGCAGAAACCCACGTCCACAGACACACGGCCATGTAAGGCAGGTTTCAGTGAGTTGGACAATAACGCTTCCTAAAAGCAGCAGAACACCTTTAACCGGAACGGGTTGGTGTGTTGTAGAAAGCTCCTATGGTGGCAGCTGTGTGGCACCAACCTTTCTGCCCTCGACAGCCCAGAACGATGAGCAGGGACAGGAGGAGCACCGCGGCCCCAGCGGGTCCCCTGCCCACCATTACCGCTCTGCCCGTAGCAGCCTGCAATCTGAATGCATGCTGGTCGCTTCTGGTCCGGGCTGCCGCTGCGCCGCTTCAGCCTGGACGGAGGGGAAACAACTTGTATTAACAAAAAAGCTTTTTTTGGTTTTAGCTGAACTATAACCCGCTGTTTAGCGACAAGTGAAGGAGGAGCACACTGCCCCACACACACTGAGCCAGGCTGAGGAGATAGCCTACTTCCTCCACAGTGAGACTCCTCCTCCGATCTGGGAATGGGATGAACGAGTCCCCCACGTGGTCTAGAGTATGGAAGGCCGTTTCATGAAAATTAAATAATATTAATAATAAAATAAAAACTAATAAATAGAAAATAGAAAAAAAATAAATAGAATAAATAAACAAAAATAGAAAATAATTAAATAAATACAAAATTAAATGAGATTAATTAAAACAATAATGAATTACTAACACACATTCTATGAAATAAATCCATGTCACTATGAATTAAAGCTAAATAAAAAGAAAAAATAAGACACGTTTATCTTGTTTTATTTAAAATCATGCAAACTTTGTTACTTTCAGATATTTTTTGATTTATTTATCTAATTATTTAAAGCTACAGTGTGTAATTTTCAGCGACATCTAGCGGTCAGACTGCAGACTGCAGCAACATGAACGTCTCCCCCCCACCGCTTCTCCCCCCCAACAGTACGGCGAGCGTTACGGGACAAAATGTCTTCCACGACGTCCGCATCACCTACCTTCTCAAGTGATGAGGTTTGTTTACATAGATAATTTTACAGATAGTATTTCATTAGTCTGTGTAGGGTATAGATTTCATGTAGACTTAAGATAATAAATATACCCGTTATTTTTTCTACGTCGTTGTGACGTTTTGGTGAGCTGCTTTGCATGGTGATATAAACAGACGAAGTAATTGTAGTCATTAGTTTAACAGCGAGATTGTGTTCGCTGGAAGAATATATATTCCCCGTTTACAGAGTCCAAGTCTTGTTTGTGGCACGGGGGTTACAAGGCAAGGAAGAGGGAAAGGAAGAGGGCAGAGAGGCCGGGGTGAGCGTACAGCTGGGGCCAGGCGAGAGAGGGGAGCCAGCGGGGTGAGAGCAGAGGAAGAAAGGCTTGAAGATCTCCAAAGGAGCCGGAGAGAAGTAACCGAGGTATATATCCAGAAAATTATTTTACAGAAAATTACTGAATCATTACCTTTGAAACGTCAGGGACGTTGCTGAATAAGTATACTGGAGAGTAACAGCATCATCACGCAGCATGTTATTGTTTTAGACAGGTCTGAGCATCCTGTACTCCAAAAACTGCAGTGATATTAGACAATAGTGTGTGTAGGATTAATTACCTGTCCAAGAGAAAACTGGCAACTTGAGCGTCACTTTGAAAACCTTTTTCCTCCATCAGTGACTTCCATCGTGTAAATGCCGTGCCAATGTTGATCCGTGTTTTTTGTCGTTTCTTGTCACTCTTGCGTTTATTCTCGTCGTGTTTCCGCTTCTTAGATGACGGGGGTTCGGTGTCCGCCGCTTTTCGTTGTGATACAGAGTAGACATGATCCTCCATTCGTCTGATGTTTGGCCACACAGTGCCAAACAGTTTGCAAAGTCACTCACGCCTGCCGCCTTGTTTACCTTTCTTGTTACCGAGGCGCAGTATACCTGCTTCTTCTTCTTCTTTGGTTTCAGGCAGACTAAACGCTTCTCAGGCATAATACTGCCATCTACTGTTCAGTACCGTCTCAGTTCATCTCTCTCAACTTGCCGTAGTTATTTTCGAGCGTCATGGGAGATCTCGCAATCGCTAGTTTGTTGCCTCTGCGCTGCCGTAGCGCAAAGATGTCAGCCTCCATGGCTGCGAGACCCGCTCCTATGTAATTATAAATAACGAATTCTAAGGCAACGCAAATGTTATGGTTAAAAGGCTGAGCTCATAGGTGATGATAAATAACATAGTTATGTATAATATATTAAATTTCTGAATTTATATGCCTGTAATTATTACACACTGTAGCTTTAATAATTATTTGTTGAAACTTTTATTTTGTAAAGGTTTTTTACTTATTTCAGTGAATTGTTGTTTAACCCCTTTTTTATTTCCAGCTCTGTTTTTTAAATTTAAATGAAGGGACAGGGATAGGGTGACCAGATGTCCTCTTTTTCCCGGACATGTCCTACTTTCCATACCTAAAAAAAATGTCCAGGTAGAATTTCAAAAATCGTCCGTGATTTCGGTCGAATACGTTGCAGCAGAACCGAGCCATCAGCACCTCAGTGACGTTGGATATTGGATATTCAAATATTTAGACTGCAGCTTGAATTATGCTGGAGATAATGGGACAGATTTGCAGTTCTTAAAGGAATAGTACACCCAAAACATGATTAGCCTTTATTTTCTACTCACCCCCATGCTGAACAACACCAGATGAAAGTGCGCATTCAGCGTCTGCTCTGCCGATAATGCAAGCGTAGAAGAAGAAATGTGCTGTTTACCTGTGCAAAGAAAGAAACAACGAAAGAAAAATGTCTGAGGACTTCAGTGTTGAGGAAGAGCATGAGTTCTTTGCCGAGCTGAATGCGCACTTTCGTCTGGTTTGGTCTGCCGCGGTTTCCGTAGACTCGTGAACGCGCTTTCAGGAAATCCTATACACTACTGTTTATGCTCTAAAAACATTCTAAATTACTTTGTTTCGAGTAAATTATGGACGCTACCCACTCAGAACACTTGGAATACATTGGACGAGCAGTATGGAGGAATATTGACACGTTTTTTGTGGACTTTTATGGACCTTTCTGTCTCGGGCACCATAGACCTCCATTATTTGAATGTCAGCAGACAGCAAGAAGCCTCCCAGATCTCCAGATGCATTTGAGATATCAAAAAAGTACTCCAGAGTGTTGTTCAGCATGGGGGTGAGTAGAAAATGAAGGCTAATCATGTTTTGGGTGTACTATTCCTTTAAGCACTAGAACAAAGGCAAGGTCCTAAGTAAGTGTCAAATCCCCAAGGGGAAATTTTTGATTTTATGCTAAGAAAATCTCCTCTTCTGTTTTCCTCAAGTAGGTTATTTTAATATGGCAATACAAAAAATGTTGAAGATAAGATAAACCAATATGAGGAGAAGTTAGAGGCTAAAAAGAAGGTATGTTAATAAGATTTACAGATTTTAATGAAACAAAAAACAACGACAACAAAAAAACATTTTAAAATGATGGATGGATGAAGAGGAGAGTTCCAAGAAATCACCTCAGCTCCATAGAGAAACGAGTTAAAATAAGAAGGCAAAAAGGCAGTGATTAAACTTGATACTAAACATATTTACACTGTATTCTATTTTACTCACTATACTAAGTAATTGGAGGAAAGGAAGTAATAGGAGGAAAGGAAAACAAAATTCTCTTAGTTTTTCATTTAGTGAAATCTAATTTAGATCAAAATAACACATAACTTTAGATTTTATCCTACAGGATTATATAATCCATTTTTCTTCAATTAGGTGCTATTTTGTTTACATTTTCATAAGTCAGAGAACCATCGCCGTTTCTCTGTCTTAGTCAGAACCTCAGACATTCATTACACAGGGATAAATCTACATACCACAAAATAATGCAGAGATAAAGCCAATCTCTCTGAGTGGCTGTTGTGGAAATAGAGAATTTGGTTTGAGTAAAACCTGTGCACATTTGGGTGGAAAGAATATAAAACAAGAGAAAAACAGCAAACCTAAACTCATAAAGATCCTTATAGATGCTGTTTATTTTTCCATCTGGAACAGTCCATGTGGAATTTGGATTGGTAATTAAGAGAAGAATAAATAAACAACCTAAATAAAATACTAAATTATGACTAAACCAGTAAAGTGAATAAATAAGGGAATAGCATGCCTGTCCGTCATGATCGGTATAAGGAATCTGACCCACATGTAGAGAAACCCCTTAGAGAACACGGGGAAAAGTTTAATAGGTTTATTTGATGTAATTTGAACAGAGGTTGGATCTGGAACTAAGTGAACTGGTGAACCAGAACTGGAAAGTCAGAAGGGGAAATCACAGAGATCAGTTCAGGGATTGTGGGAAATTAGACTGCGGCTTGAATTATGCTGGAGAGGGACTCACGTTTGAGGCGCTCTTGTCAATCCTTGAATCCAGTCTTTGTGGGTTTATTCAGAGAAGAGGAAACTCGTTGGAGAGCAGACAGGTAGACATACGTTGGACCGGAGGAGTAATGGAGCAGACTGTCACTTGGATTTCCGATGGGAACTTGAACAGATCATGTGGAGGTTTTCCCCTGCTCAGTGTGCACTCAATAAATCCTTCCAGGGGGAGAAGGTCCAGGTATCCAGTCACACAGGAAGGCTTCCTGGCTAACTGGCTAACACTCTGGCATTGAGGTAATGACAGTCCACTGCCCAAATACTCCTCCAGTAATGAACAACGAGCCACAGGTGTGCAGGGAGGGCCAATGAGGACAGATCATCACCTATTGGTGGTGGAGAGACAAGAAACACACAAACAACCCACACAAACTGGATTCCTTACAGGCTAAAGGAAAATTATCTATCTAGGTCATTCTTAGCAGCAGAGGCAAGAAACGACTGCTAGACTGCCGGATGAACACCTAGGCATGACTTGTCTTATGTGCGTTTGGAAAATCCAGTGTTGTTGTTTGTTGTTCAAAATGTCCCCTGTATGGACCAACATCAGCAGAAAGACGAAGACACCCAGCTGAAGATGTCTGACATCAGTTTTCGCTTTTTGATTATTTAGTTATACAACATGAATGGGAAGGGAAAATGTGTTGTATTGTGTTGTATTTTAATGAAAGTTGACCATTTTTTAGTATCTGAGTGTTTGATATTAGTTTCTTAATACAAAAGAAAGTACAAGTGTTATTTTTTTTAACATATATTTGTTAATGTATTATTATCCTTGTGTATTATCGATTACACAAGGATAACATCCTTTTATAATCGAAAGGGTGGTCTGTTGTCGGAAAATTTAGATTTCTCTTATTTAATATATTAATTTATCCTATTTAATCACTATAAAAGTTTTCAATCAGTCTGTTTCACCTGCAAGGCCACACAATTCTCTGGTGAGGGTGTTTGTAGACCAGACATAGCTTCTTTCCAAAACAAACCAGATTCTTTGTCAAGGTTTTTTTTTTATAACATGTTACTGTTAACCAAAGTGTCTATAATTTGTTTTGACTCTGACTACT